CTATGAGGGTTATTAAGGGGGATACTCGGAGATTAGACTATAGCTTACAGGGATCACATCGCGGTCATAGGGGTCTTTCGGGGCTTAGCGTTTAAGGCTTCGGATTTACCGCTGCTGGCTTTGGAGTAAAGGCCTGACGTCTATTGCTGAGTTGTAAAGTTCGCAAAGCTAGCATATTGCCAATCTTACTATTCCTCGGATGACCCCCAAAGTATTGTAACTACCAGTATTGAGGGGTTGTAGGGGTATTATATAGGATTTAGGATCGTTCAGTTTCAACCCCTGATCCCCTGAACCCATGTACCCAGGTTCCGGAGAATTCATCCTAAACCCTACGCCCTAAACCCTAAATAGTAGCTTCCATTTTCTTTTCCATTATCCTTATATAACCCCTATATCATGCCTATAGTTTCCATTTTCTCTTCCATTGTCCCCATATCACCCGAATACCCAGGTTCCAGGATTGCATTCATAGCCCTAACCCTAAGCCCTAAAGCCCCAATACCCAGGTTCCGGAGGATTGAATTCATAGCGCTAAACCCTAAGCCCTAAACCCTAAATAGTAGCTTCCATTTTCTCTTCCATTATCCCTATATACCCCTGAACCGTAAAGCCCTTGTACCCAGGTTCCGGAGGATTGAATTCATAGCCAGAGTTGCAGCCACGCACGCCTGGTCCCAGCGGGTGGACGAAATTCAACAAATCAAGGACCGAAACGCCTGAGGCTACCTGGTGTGTGGTAGGGTGTAAGGGAGAGGTGGTCATTTGCATAGGGGACTACTATAGGGGGTATTAAGAGGGATACTTACTAGGAGTGGGCTATAGCTCACATAACAGTACGTTATAATATTGCAATGATTATTGCAAGTGAGGATGGCGATAATAGACCCTAAGCCCTAGAACCTAAAGACTAAACCCTGGACCCTATTCCCCATCCCTATCAAGCACCAGCGATGAGAGAACTAGATGGGTTTAAGGTTTAGGGTTTAGGGACCCTCCTTGGAGGGTCAGATGGATGTCGTAAGTAGGTTAGTACTGGGGATAACTGGGGTTATTACATAGCCTACAGGGGCTATAGGCATACTAAGTCCCCCTGACCTTCCAAATATACCTCTAAAGCCAGATACCGTGAGATTTAGAGCCAAAATTATGAACTTGCAAACTCTCCACCAGCGCGAAGCCTGGAACCCTGGGGTACTTCTTGAAGGGAGCTTTGTAAAGAGTTTGCTTTGGAGGTCCGTGGGCATTGGTTTCAAAATGGATTTCTTCCCGAAAAACAACGCGGGGGAAACCGTAAGCATGTAATACGTACCCTGAACCTCAAAGCAAACCCTAAACTTAAGGCCATCAACGCCATAAACCCTAAACCCTAAACCCTAGGACTTGGCCAACGATGTCCTGAAGAAGCTGCAGAGCCTTTGCTGCCTGAGGGATTTTGGTAACCCCAACCTGAACCTCAAAGTAAATGAGCTATATATTTTATAGAGTCTATATAGGGTTTAGGGTTGTAGTCTAAAATCCTTCAAGGGGGTTAAAACAGAGGATTATATAGAGGAGTACTACAGGGGTTATGAAGGGGGATACTAGGAGTTTATTTAGACTATAGCTCGCGTAGAATCATAATTTTTTCATTTTTTTCAACAAGCTTCATGGGCTTTGAGCTATGGTTTCACTTGATAGCAGCCCTAAACCCTAAACCCTAAATCGTAAACCCTAAACCCTAAATCATGAACCCTAAGCCCTAGATTCTGGTGTCCAGGAACTCTACAAAAAGCCTTACCTCCCATAATAATAGCCATAAAGGCCATTATTTTACATACTTTTGGGGTCCAGGTAGTTTTGAGAAGCCGTACTTCAACCCTAGAAGCTCAACCCCAAGCTCTGGGCCCTGGACCCCAAGCGCTAAATGACTCAAACTCCTTAAACTAGATATAGTCCCCCTGAAGTAGATAGAATATGTGATATATGGGGATCTTAGTATAATATACCCAAAGCCATATTTTATCTACTTAAGGGGGACTGTACCCCAATAGTACCTTTTATCCCTTTTCATTTTGGCGGCTACCCTTATTGAAGCTAAACAGTAGGAAACAGGGCACCCTTATTACTAAGGAGTTACTGGGGAACCTAGTAAAAGTGGGTTATATAGGGGCCTATATAGGGGGGTATTATAGGGATCACCCTAAACCCTAAACCCTAAAGGGATCATTAAGGGGGATACTGGGAGTTTGAGTTGAGCTCAACTGATTTCAACTCTGGACCCCAAACCGCAAACCCGAAGCCCTAATCCCTGGAGCTCTATCCCTGAACCCTTCCCTAGGGCTTATGTTTAGGGTCTAGGGGTTTAGGGGTGTAGCGGTTTAATATTTAAGGGCTTAGGGTTTAGGATTAGGTTTATGGTTTAGGATTTAGGATTTAGGGTCTAGGGAACATGTTCTACATGCGCTTTTTCTGAGCGCCCAATGAACAGCTAAAGCGATTTTTGGTAAGGGTGTCCCAGGGCAGATAGATTTACCCGTTGCCCAGAATGCCCAAACCCGAAGGCCTGTATGACAGGTTTTCAAGATTGTCGTCCTTTGTGGGTCCCCATCCGAAATACAGCCACTAGTATTCAGAGTGCCCAAAGAAGGGGCCATGATTCTGACGCCCCCCCCTTTAGCCAAAAGGCGAGATTCTCCATTATGGTATATAACTCCACCCATAAACCCTTAATTCGTTGAACCCCAAAACCCAGCTTACAACCCAAAACCCCACCCCCAAACCCAAAACCTAAACCCCTAAACCCTAAACCCTAACCCAACAAACCCTAAACCCAAAAACAATAAGCCCAAAACCCAAAACCCAAAACCCTAACCCCAAACCCAGGAGAGACACCTGCGGAACTCCTGGTTTGGTCCCCACTGCCAGTGCCCAGTCGTACTTTTCCACAATCGTGGAGGCGGCTCAGGCTGGACCGCGGGGGGAAGAGGGTTTAGGGTTCTAGGGCTAGGATTTAGGATTTAGCGTTTAGAGTTTTGGATATAGGTGTGGGGATCTAGGTATTAGGTTTTAGGATTTAGGGTTTGGGGTTTAGAGTTGGAAGACTTGGGGGCGGGAATAGAAATTTACAATGCAGACAATTGTTGGCTCCTCCTCACGGGATTATATCCGGTCATAGCAGGGGGAATGGAGGAGAACATGGAAGCCACTGTTGAACGGTTTCGGGTTTGGTTCAGGGTCGGAAGGACTTAGCCAGCAGGTAAGTAATCTGTGACTGGGGTTGTTATATGGCCTGTCGGGGTTATAGTAAAACATATACTCTACTAAATCCTTGGAACACGTCAAGTATGGTTGTAAGAGTTTTTTAGGGCTGTGGAGTCGTTGAGGGTTTGGGGATTCATGGCTTAGCCTCCTCATCGAAGATGGCAGCCTAAGAGGGTGTTGCAGACAGGAATTAGGACCTACGTAGGCTTCTTTAAAAGGGGCAGGGGGTACTTTGCCAAAGTTTCCAAATTGGGCTTGTGGTGTTGGATTCAGGTTTAGAGGCCTAAACCAAAAATCGTATTCAGAAGGCTTCGGGTGAAGGGTTCAGGAGGCGTAATTTGTCTAAAAAAGTTTGGGTTTTGGGGTTCGCGGCCTCAACAATACATGAAGCACAGGGTTATCAGGGTCTTTCCGGAGGGCTGGTCCTTTGTGAGTTATATACTTGGGACAGTAGTAGGGGATACACAGTTAATAGGGCTAGGGAGCGGAGGCCGCCGAGCCTAAACCCTAAACCCTCATGAGAAATGCAGCCCCGAGCCAGAAACCCCTTATACCCTAAACCCTAACTATTATGTTCAAGATTCCGTTCCCTACTTGCTTTCTGGGTCCCTGGTCTGGACCCCTGTTCTGAGGCTTGCAACGTTTTTTGGGAAAAATTCTTATCATGTAATTCTAGAAAGTGTATCTCATGGATCTCGGATGCCCGTCCATACATAAATCAAGGGGATCTTGGTAACGCCAACCCCCAAAATAAGGATGCTATAATCATCATATGATAGTCATTCGGTCCTAATTTTGGGTGTCGGGGCTACCAAAAAACAGATCAACAACGCTAAGGGGGTGGGAGATGGACGGCTGAGCCACGGCAAATTCCTTGCCTGCAGACGATTACCAGGGAATGCACTTCTTTATACCCTAAACCCTGAACCCTGAACCCTAAGCCCTAACCCCTAAACCCTAAACCCTAAGCCCTAAACCCTAAGCCCTAAACCCTAAGCCCTAAACCCTAAGCCCTAAACCCTACGAGGAGACCTGCCTCAGGGCCATTTTGGGGACCGATATTTTGACCACATCAATTGCAGATCCTTCTGTATGAAGCCTCCATTCCAAGATCCTAGTTCCTTGGGTAACGGTCTGTCGTTCCAAGCCTCAACCCTAAACCCTCAACCCTAACCTCTAAACCCTAACCTCTACAGGCGCTTAGGGTTGATGTTTTGAAGTCGGGTTTAGGGTTTAGGATTTAGGCTGATCCGGAATCCCAAACATTTGAAGGCGGCATGCATAGCCACAGGAAACGAATGATTAGTGCATTGATCCCTCCTGCTTTGTCTGGTGTTGTCTTGCCATGACGTCCAAGCGGCGAGAGGCTCTCCATAGCGCGCCAGCTCCAGCTGACCTTCTTTGCCGGGGTCACTCGAGTACAGGCAAATCCCTCCATTCGGCTGCCGCTGCTTACGGAGCTTTTGCCATGCCCGGCAGCGCCACCGTGCCCTGTGGAGTCTCCGAGTTGGCGGACAGCGCAGAAGATCTGACAGCGACCGCACGCAGCAAAGTACCAGTGGGTGGGCAAGCCGGTCAACCGGCTCCTTCTAGTGCTCTGCTCAACAGCAGCGTGGGCTTGTCACTGAAGCGATCCGCAACTCACGACCAGAAGTCAAGCTTGCCAAGCTTGAAGGTTGCAGCACCTCAGGGCCAGTCTGCAACCATGCACCAGAGCAACAGCTTGCCCTCTCTTGTCAAGATGCCGCTGCCTCCAGGCCCCGTTCCGGCAGCCGGTGGCAGTGGAGACGGGAAAGGATGAGGGACTCTCGCTTATGCAGATGGCGCTGGAATGGCTCCCGGCGCTCCAAGAGGAGCTTGAGCACCTGAAAGCCAATGGGGTGAAGATTGGTGGACATGTCAGCCAACTCCGCCATCACCTGGATGCCATCATTCCGGGGTGCGGCAACAGGGATGAGGCCTTGACTCTACAGTCCCTGCTGGTGTCGTACGAGGGTGAGGCTACATGCGAAAGAAACTCAGAATCAGGGTCTGCTACGAGCTGGTGTGGCGCTGGCGGTGGACACTCAGGAGGACCCGGACGTAGACAAGAATGAAGTGGCGATTGGAATCATCATGCGGGACGTCCAGGAGGAGCGTGTGATGCGCGGCCGATGCAAACGAGCCCGAATGGCCCAGATGGATGACGACCGTGCACTTGCTGAAGCCATGGAGAAGGACGCGGGCCACCAGAACACTACGAGCCCGTCAAGTGCCAGCACGGTGCCGTGGAGACCTCAGGAAACGGTGGAAGGCCATGCAAGGGTGGCGGTTGGGCATGGCGGTGGGGCAGGGGACGGAAATCAGGGTGGAGGTGAAGCTGAATGTGCAACAGTTGTTGCCGACAGACAGTGCAGGCAAGGAGGGCAAGAATGGCGAGGGCAAACCCAACGAGGGCAAGGGAAAAGGGTCGGAAGCGTCAGCTGAGTGAGAGGGTCTGAGTTATTTCGCCTGAGTGGGAAAGAAGTGCCGCGAGCAGACGCAAAAGTTCGAGGGGTTGAAAAAAAACCTAAATCCGAAACTCCAAGCCCCAAACCCCCAACGCGCACTCTCAAACTGCAAAAGTCTGACCTCCCAACAAAAACCAAGGCCGAAACGCTAGGGTTTCGGGTGTACGGTTTAGGGTTACAATTCAAAACCACCAGCCCAAAACTAAAACCTTGCTACCCTGAGCCCCAAGCTCTAAGCCCTAAACCCTAAGCTCTAAGCCCCAACCCCACAAGCACCCCCCAAGCCCAAAACCCCAAAATCCATACTCCAAACCCCAAGAAACCGCCTTAAACTCTAGACTCTAGAGTCTAAAAACCCAAAACTCTAAATCCCACAGCCTACACTCCAAAACCCCAAGCAGTAAGCCAACCACTCTAAACCCCAAAGTTCTGAAACCTAAAGCCGAAGCTCTAAACCCCAACTCCGGACTCGTACCACCCCAAACCCCGAACTGGGGGCATATATGGGTTGTATCAGGGGGTTACATAAGGGGATATAGGGGTTGTATGTTGAAGTACATTGGCTCTGGCTCAGGTGGCCGCATGCAACCCCGACGAGCAGGCCTTGTTTTGTTTTTTGTTCAGGTTTTTGTCAGAAAGGTCCGGGTTTTGGGTAAGATCGTGGTAGAGCAAGACAGGCAGCCATTCCTGCCAGTGGAAAATATGTTTCCTAGAGGCCTTTTTTGTGTTTCCAGCTGTAAAGCCCGAACCCTGAATTCTGCACTAAGGTTCCCGAAGCTTGGCGAATCCTCCGCACAGTGGTGGGCGTGTCTCAAAATGATCCCTGTTTAGGGCTGAGGGTTCAGGGTTCAGGGTGTAGGGTTTGAGGTTAATCTGGGGCCCAAATATAGAAATTCATTCGCTGCAATCCTGCTCCCCAAAATGGCCGTTTTTTTTTTGATCCTAAGTTTAACCAAAGCATTACCCCTACATATCCTCAGAGCTTTGGTTATCTGACTTGCCAAGGCGGATCCAACATAGAGTCAGTAAGATCAGAACCACCTGTTGGTTATAGCATTTCAACAGAAAGATATGATCCAACTTGGGTCGAGCACCAAAGAAACCCTTCCCCAGGTGGCACTTCAGCGATGCAGCAGATGTGCTCTTGATGATCCTGGGTCGCTGTTAAAAGTGTACTTAGGTTTCCTCAATATGCGTGGGCTGTCAAAATTATGACCCCTCCTTGATGACCCTGAATGCTTGGAAAGGACCATGGTTTTGACAACCTATCATATGGATATGTGGCAAAATCATGCGGTGCTGAGATTAGGATAGATTAAGTCAGCTACCATAATACGGATAAACTAGCACGCCCGCATATACTAATTTAGTTTAGGTTCCTTAACAGCAACCCAGGACCGTATGCTGGATGTTATGGCTACTCGCCTTGCATGCTTCAGGATTTAGCCACAGTGAGACGACTAGTGGATTCAATGCCGGCATGAATGCGACCCTGGGGTGCCTTCGTGATTTTAAAGATCATTGAAGAGCACTCACGTTTGAATATTCGCCTTGCCTGCGCGATCCTGAAAACGTGACCATGTGCATGAAGTTGGTTTGAGTTTTGTACCCTTTCGCATGTACTTTTATACACGCATATGTATACATAAATACATACATACATACATACATACATATATGCATGCATGCACACACACACACACGTGCCAAAACCCTATAAACCTTCGTCTAGGCAACCCCCCAAGATAGCCCCCTGATATTTGGAACCCCTGCAGCTGGGCAAGGTCCATTTAGATTCAGCTCATAGGCTGAAGTTCTGAGACGCAGTTTAAGATTCAGGGTGTAGCTGGGCCATTTGAAGCGATTTCACTCAACCTAACTCTAGGTGGTGGTTGATATAGGGCATGGTACCAAGATGGGCTTAAATTGGGAAATGAGATTATTCCTAAGTTGCACTGGTTGAGGGTTCGAATTATACTTCAGGTGCGCTTAGGTTTTGGGGTTCAGGTTGTAAGCCCTTGTACTTCAAGACCCTCCCGCGGCAGCCGATTTAATTCGTATCGGGTGGGGTAGAATATGTTGTACAAACGATTTACAAACATTGTAAAGGAAGGATATTGCAAATGATTCAGGTTTCTACATAACAGGGACATTTTATGCGCAGTCCTCCACAGGCCCCGTAGAATCTCCTCCACGGGCGTCGAGAAAACAAGGACCCGGATATGCTCAACGACAGCCAACATTGTCCGAGTAAGTTGTATAGTGTCGCTTCTTCAAAAGAAGGCTCAAAAAGGACAAATACCCCAAAATCAGACCTTCTTGGAACCTTGTGTGAGGCACATGGCATTACTGATAACCCACTTACAGAAACCTGCTTTCAATGGCAGTATACATGAGGTTTCAACCACAGTTAGAACTCGGTTAGAAGCACCCGTGCGCCTCCAGCTGGGTGTGTTGCGGTGCGCGTAGTATGGTTTTTTGGACCCGAAACCCTACGCCTTAAACCTTAAACCCTAAACCCTAAACTGCGTGCGGGTGGGTGGACTGCTCCTCGGTGCCAGGGGGACTTCGAAGGCTTTTCCTACAAGACCGCCTTTTTCTTCCCAGGTTCGGTACAAGGGTTTCATGTTATTTCAAGGCTCAGGGCTAAGTGGTTTAGGCCGTTTAACCCTAAACCCTACCTAGGCCCCCAAAGTCCATAAAACACACATACTCGCAAGTAGGACCTACATAATCCATTTAGAGGCCTTGGCTCACTCCAAAGAGTTGAGTTTTGAATCCCTAAGCCCTATAAGCCCAAGAACCCTATCAACCCTGTAAACCCTATGGACCCTAAACCCTGATGATTTTGTGTAAGTATTTCAAATCAGTGAGTTTGGGTTGAACTTCAGTTTGGACGCCATCCTCATTGCCACAACATCTAAGGAATCGTAGGGGTTTAGGGTTATTCCGCTCATCTTGATTGCGGCTTTGGGTTTAGGGTTTCGGGTTAAGTGTTTGAGATGTTAGGTTCAGTTTGAGGAACGTAGAGCAGAAGTGATTCTACAAAGGCAGGGTAGGGGAGGTAGTCAGTTGAACATATAGAATTCGAACTCCTCCTTCACGGTATAGCTAGCCGTGTCCCCAAGTCGCGGTCTGAGTTTTCAGAATTCTCATATTCACTCTTTCGGCTGAGGGTGGCTTTGTGGTTCACGTGCTGTTTTCTTGAAGAGCAGTTGCGAGAATCCTCGCGAATCCCCACCCCTAAAATTAGAACCCCCCCCCACCCACCCGCCCCTAAAACAAGCATTCCCTGTAGCCTATGTTGTTCCAGTACCTGTGTTAATTTAACTCATTGAGCGGGAGATGGTGATTCTCTTTTTGTTGCTGTTTTGTGTTGGTTGTGGCTTTCGTTGCTTGCACCACAGTACTATTTATGCTTGTTGAGCTATGTGCCAATTACACACTTCTGGCAGTCTCTTTCCTACCCTCATGTCAAAAGTGGTTGAGGTAGAGAATATGGGGGGTGTGGGGCTTGGGGTTTATAGGGTGGGGTTCGGGGGTTTAGGGTTTAGGGGTTTAGGGTTTAGGGCTTAGGTGTGGGTCGCGAGGGAGTCAAGGCATTCATGAAGCCTTGTTAAAGTGAATTAGCTTTGATTTAGGAAGCCGGTGGCCTCGCATGTCTAGAAAGCCCGTGAACTGCGTGTTCATCCCACTTAACCGCTTATTACATGCCAAGATTGTCCACCCTTCTGAGCCCTTATCATGCAAAAGGGCTCAACACCCTAAACTTCCTAAACCCTCAGCGGCCATACTGCAGGTCAGGGTGCCCAGACTGTTGGCATGTGCAAGGAGCTTACGGACGAGGCAGCTTCGTTCAATTACAAGTGGGAGTTCCGCAGACTATAGATTCTCAAGCTCGGTGGTGCAAGAACCTAAGGGAGAGAGTGAGAGAGAGAGAGAGAGATAGATAGATAAATACATACCTCAGGAGGACCCCCCACCCTGTAATAGTGGTATAATAGGAATATAAGAGGACCCTAATATAGTTACTAGTGTCCCTTATAGTCACTATTACTGGGTGGCGGGTCCACCTAGCATATACCCCGGTAATATCCTAGAGTCCCTTATATTCTAGATGTTTTGATAGATCTCACTTTCCTTTGGTGATCTGCTTAACTCAAGGCCCAAGTAGGGAATACCATTCATCTGCTTACAATCCCCATATAAATGTGGCGTTCCTAAGCGCTTTGAGAAATCCCTTAATTAAGGATTTCCCTCACCGATGGGGACGCCCAAGAGGGCCTAGTGCTTCGAGCTTTTAGCCGTTGATTCAGTGCAGGGCTTCAGGGGTCTAGGATTCAAAGCGTGAGTTTGGGTGTAGAGTGTGGAGGGTTTAGGGTTCAGGGTTTAGGGTGTAGGGTCCAGGGTTGAAGGTTTAGGGCTCAGGGTTTAGGGATTAGAATTTAGGTTTTAGGCTTAGGGACTCCGTTTCCCTCCCCGCTCCGTGTCCCTCCCTGAATGGGCATCCCCAAGCATACTTATGACACTCCCCAAGCAAAACATGAAACCCCATATGGCCACTTCCTGAAAACGATAGTAGTCTTTGCCGAAGTTTAAAATCCTAATGGCCTAAAGCCTAAATCCTATAAGGTTTAGGATTCGAGGGCGGGCAGTGGGGCCCAAGACTAGGCTGCTGTGGAGTCTCGGAACTCCTTGTGGAGTTTTGTGGCATACTTGGATGGTGAGGGGGACT